TAAATTTAATATTACTACTTCGTATCAAAAATAACGAATCACAGACCTGGTCTCTGATATGTACATGAACGATCGCACGTTTAAATGATGCGATTAGGGCCACTATTAAGCGGTCGCGAGAGACGCATCGTGGACCTCGCGCGACAGGTGAAATATAATTTATACTTATACTAAATACCGTGTATATATGGTGGTTGTGTGAGTCCCTATCGAATCCGGGCCTCTTCGAGGTATAAATAATTGTTGTCTCTGGCTTTCGCTGCCGGAGGCGAGTGGCTCATAATTCAAAACGCTCCCTGTTGATTCCCTAATTTCCGACGAAACGCATAAAGTCGATCGCTATTGAAGAGAGACTAAGAGCGCTATTTCGTTATATTATATTCGTTAATATGCATCCAATAAAATATCAAGAATTGAAGAATAAAATCCTATCCTTGTGGTGATCGGTAAATTTCTTATACGTCGTATAATAAAGAATGGGATATTATTAAAAGAGATTCAGCCCATGGTATTCGATGAATTTCTCGTATGGTAATTTCGTCTCAATGTATCCATAATGAGCTTTAGACTTTCGGCAAGAATATCTTCTTTTCGGAAGAAGACTGCGAAAAAGATTGGCTTTGCTATTAAGAGACTGATTTTGGACAGTAGAAATCTCTGACAGATACAAAATCGAGATTAATTCTCAATAGTTTGAGAATTTCGCCCTCTGATAGTGTTATTAGAATTATATATATAGATCTAGATAAAGAACCCAGAATTCTATTTACATAAATTTCTACCAAGTACACGTGTATTATTCGTTTCCCCTTTTTCTTCGAAAACCACTTCATCCATTCATTCGTGATTTTCAACTTACGCGCGCGTATCTGTTTATCTCGAGTAAATCAATCCTAAAACTTTCACGCTAATACATAATTTACTGTTTATATAAATGAAAACATCGCTTTCTCTTCTCCTACAAATTCCTCCCTGTCTCTTTTAAAAGAGCGACGCATTTCATCCATTTACTACAATCTTCATAATTACATTTTATTTAATTTTATCCGCTTCTATAATTATTCCGTCTCTTTCTCGTTCTCTCTCCCGTCGTATAAGAAAAATTCCATGTCGGCGGGTGCTTGGCAACACTCTCGCGCGGCTTGGCATTCCCGGGGTCCGCCATTGGCTTCGCCCGCATCAATTAGGTATTTTAATCGGAAAGGCACCGCGGAATAGTTGCGATACTATAACGGCGCGCATTTACGATACGCGAGCGCAAGCAGGCATGCCCGGAGAATTGGAACGTGGTTGCGTTAACATAATGGAATCCCGTGGAATGATATAACCATTATATGTATACATATAACGGATTACGTCACTTTGGCGGCGGGGACGCCGAAGCGCGCGCGCGCGCGCGAGAGAGAGAGAGAGAGAGAGAGAGAAAAATAATAATGCCGATTGTGCGGGGAGTCGCGATCGCTCACCTTAATTTCCCAGATTGTCAGATTGGAATATAAGCTGACGCGCTTTTCCGCGCGTAAACGCTCGTGAAACGGTTTCCTGCGCGCGGACTGGTTTCCTCTCCCGATGTTTATCTATTATATATAAATTTCGAATTTGTGAAAATTCGTCTCTTCGCCGAAGATCCTTCTTTCGGATGCAAGTGACTCGATATTCAATGTACAATTTTACGTATAACTGTCATGTTACGTTAAGAAGTTATCCTACTTCGAATTGCGTTATGTAAGCAATATAAAAACATAATTATCGATGTAAATTATAATATTTAAGTATATATTACATATACATCTCTTTGGATTAAAGAGAAACTTTGAATAAAACATTGAGCGTTTATCTTTCTCATCTCTGATTATATTGCAACTCTGAATCAGTTTTTACACGTGAAACATACATGTGATCATATCAAGTTTTTAATCAGAATTCTAAAAAATCCATACATCAATCTTATTAATACAAATAAAGATATGGCATAATTACTGGATATCGCGAAAGAGAAGAACAGAAGGAACATTTCGTTAAACGGAGTTGATTGTCCAGCCTAAGTCGGCGCAACTAGTCCCCAACGTCCGACGGTCGTCGTGCTAGTTACAAAACGGCTTGTAACTAGCCGCACGCTTAATAACTTGCGCCGGTAGCGGACGATAAATTAAAAAGAAACTTTGAATAAAACATTGAGCGTTTATCTTTCTCATCTCTGATTATATTGCAACTCTGAATCATAGTTTTTACACGTGAAACATACATGTGATCATATCAACACGGAAAAAAAAAATTAGCTGCCGTAGCTAAAAACTGCGTGTGATAACTAGATTTCAGTCGTAATATATGGACAGCGAACATCTTAGCTGTGACACCTATTTATTAGGTGCAACAGCGAACATCTTAGCTGTGATACCTATTTATTAGGTGCAACAGCAAACCGTTTTGCTGCAGTTTAGAAATTTATTTTGCAAACCATGATTAGCTATGGTAGCGAAAATTTTTTTTTCCGTGAAGTTTTTAATCAGAATTCTAAAAAATCCATACATCAATCTTATTAATACAAATAAAGATATGGCATAATTACTGGATATCGCGAAAGAGAAGAACAGAAGGAACATTTCGTTAAACGGAGTTGATTGTCCAGCCTAAGTCGGCGCAACTAGTCCCCAACGTCCGACGGTCGTCGTGCTAGTTACAAAACGGCTTGTAACTAGCCGCACGCTTAATAACTTGCGCCGGTAGCGGACGATAAATAATGCAGGAGACACCGTCGTCCCGATGTAATTAACGAGAGCAGTCGATATCCCTCGGCTCGGGCGTGTGTGTAACCGGCAAGAGCGCGCGCGTGTATTCATGCCCGTGCGCGCACGCGGATGTACTTGTGTCACGTATACGCGCGCGCGAACGCGAACGAGCGCGGTCAATATTTGTCATCCGCTTTAACAAAAAGAACGTTACAAAACGCTCGGCCGGATGCACCCCGGCCAAATATTGACTGCGCTCATTGACGTTCATTGATACTCTCAATTAGCGCATACCGTCGAAGCCAATCGCCGGGTAATTGGGATGGCCCTCCACCTACCCTCCGCGGGAAAACCGCGCGGGCCTCTCTTTCCCATCCCGTTCCCTTCCGTTCCCTCCTGCGCTTTTCTCCTCCCTCCCCGCTTACCGTTCTCGATCACGTCGCGGCCAGAGAGTCAGATGCGAACGGTTTCGGCGCGAAAACTCCCGTCCCGCGATCGCTATAATTGGCGGCCGACTCGAGTCCGTCCGCGACTTTTCCGTGAAAGAGCGGCCAATTATAGGGGACCAGCGCCGCTGGATACAGACATCCGTTGCCTTCGTTCCTCGAGGATCGGTCGTTTGCCTTGGCGAGGACGAAATGCGTCCCCTAATGACGCGAGGCGCGCGCGGAACGCGAATCACCGCGTGTTCTCTCGTTAACGATCGTCGACCGGCCGTTGGCCATCTCGGCCGGGAAAACGTCTTCATCCGTTACCGGGAAAATTGCACGATTTCGAGTTAACCGACCCGGAGGGTGAAACTTTTCCGTCGAGAAGCGAAGTTAGGGGCCGCCGCGGGAGGTAACGCCGGCGTTTCTTATTTCAATTCACGGCGGCACGTTTTGATATCGGCGGAGGAAACTTTTAATTGACTCCCTCTCCCTCTCTCTCTTTCTTTCTCATTGCCGAATTATTTCTAAATGTTGACCAAATATATTGAAATACTTCTCTCTTCGTTTATATTTGTTTTATCCGATATTGGAATAAATTTAAAATACGTACGCGCGCGCAAACTTTTTTAATGACGATGCAGAGAGAAATTTATTTGCACATTTATTTAACACGTTTTAATGGTAAGATTAGATTTGTAATGCGCAGCTTGGTAGCGTGCCGTTATTTAAATTAGAAAATGCATTTTATAAATTTTCAATTTACATGCGTGCACAAATCATATACGTAAAGACAAAAAATTATGAAACGCTTTTTATTTATATCCTGCAAAACCAACCGATTTTTTTTAAGACTACATTTCTCGAATCGTATAAATCTAACGTTACTTTTGACGGAAATGCTTATCTTATCTTATTATCTTATTAATGGCAAGTGTAGTTCTGACTTTTTTTTATCACCTTCCTGCATTTTATTTCCACTAATTTATCTTTGGCAAAAAGAGAAACAATATTCTTCCAGTATAAAAACAGGGAAACTATACTAAGCGAATCGGAATATATATCTGAGTGGTTCGGCGTTATCACGGACATAAAAATCTCCTAATTACAACACTCCATGTAATTACGGACTTCTTGTTGTACAATTTGCATCGAAAATTACATATCAGCACCGATGCGTGCAAAGACAAATGTTCCTCCGGGGAAAAGATTAATCGCATAAAACAGTATCAGTATGCTTGCAAAGAATCATTCATTCAGAAGCAATGATTCTCAGAGATAGTCTTATAATATTATAATCTAACGGCTAACAATAAGTAACTTTTTACGCTCACGAACAAAAATCACCGATGCGTTCAAAATTTTTTTTATATATGATGTAGATTCAACTTAGCATTTTCGCGAATTACGGAAAGGCAACTACCTTAATGACAATAACATTTCGCTCTGCGTGCTGACACTAATTATTTCCCTGATGCTTAAACAACGTATTCAGAAATTGTCGCGAAACAATTCACTTACTATTTGCACTCCTGGGATCTAATATGACAACATTTTTACGTCGTAAATTTCTTTTCACGCAGTATAAGTGCGGAGAATCATCCTATCTAAAAAAGGCATGTAAAGTCGATACTCGAAAGTCTCGAAGTGTATTGTTGTCGCTTTTCCGCGATGCTGATTGGTTCTGTCATTGCGCTTACTTCGTGAGCGGCTGTCATTGCATATTTTGACAGTTATTATTTCGTGTATATATCGTTAAAAATGTTTAATGAAAAAGAATAAACAGCGCGCGCGAAGCGCGCGTTGTGTTGTGCTAGTATAAATAAAAGAGAACTTGACTCACCCTTTCCTCCTCCCGAATCATCTCCGCGATGCCGGGCTTGATCTCGAGATCGTCGGCGCTGACAGCCTGACCGCCGGCGTTCAGCGCATGTTGCTGCTGCTGTTGCTGTTGTTGCTGCTGCTGTTGCTGCTGCTGTTGCACGCTGAGTTGCTGACCGTGGCTGCCCAGGTGGTTGACGGGCGCGTGCGGACCGGAAGTCACGTGGCCGGACACGTGGTGGGTCGACAGGGGGTGCGAACTCTGCTGTCCCTGCGGCGGCGGCGGCGGGGGTGGTGGTAAGGGCAGCGAGACAGGAAGCTCCTGCAGGTTGATCTGCGGCGTGACGGAGATGCTAGGCATACTGGGCGTACTAGGCGAGCCTAGGGACCTAGGTGTCGAGCTGGCGGTCGGCGGCACCATATTATGGATCTCGGGTACGACAATGTTGCCGGCGATCACGTCCTGGTCGTCGGCAATGCTGCCGGAACCGATGCGTTCCGGACTGTTGCTGGACGGGGAACGCTCGCCGGACATTCGGCGGCGTTTCTTTCGCTGCATCGCCGCGGTCGCGACCTCCTCCAGAGTCGGTCTGGACGTTAGTTCCTGTTCGCTATTGACGTCCGCGAGGCCGCGAATCTTGAGACTCTCCGCGACCTTGAGCAGCGGCCCGATCTGTTCCTGGGAGACGTTGATCTCGCCCTTGTACATGAACTCGACCGCAGCCTTGAGTTCTGGCCATTTGATGTCCTTCATGATGACGATCGGGTGTTGGCAGGGATTGTCGAAGAAGAGTGCTTGAAAGTATGGGCTGCAGGCTGACAAGACCATCTTGTGAGCCTTGACGCTGTGACCGTCGCAGGCTAAGGTCACGTCCACAAAGCTTTCGCTCTGTAAGAGCTGATCGAAGACGTTGGTTAGGTTAGTCTGATAGTTGTTCCAGCGCAAACAAAATTGCTGGGGTGACCCAGCACCGCTTTGCTGCGTCATGATCGGGCGTGATGTGGCTTCCGCTTGTCTTGTTCCACAAGAAAGAGGGAGAAAGAGAGAGTATCTCCTCCTCCTTCTTCTACTTTTCTATTGCACCGCACGCTTCCTCCTACGCTTTCTCTTCAACCTGTTCCTCTTCTTCTCTTTGTTTATCTTTCTCCAATCACCTCGTGGTGCGTCTCGTCTCGGATTCTCGTTGTCGATGACGTTCGGCCTGATCGGATCAGTAACAAGGCCGCATCTGCAACACACACATGCACAGCCACACGTGAACCTCCAGATGTATCCGCGTGAAGGGACGCGGGGAGTGAGAGCAGCTTTATCCGCGCGCCTCGTGGCAACGTGCGCGGATCTGTCAGACGCAAACCGACGCGGGCGTCATCGTCCCGTTGGGACGTCGCGGTCGAGCATCTTTTAGCCTAACTCCGAAACGTGGCTCCGTACTCGAATACTCTTTACTCCACTCCCACTAAAAGAATTAGAGTCCACCTTGCCTCCCCCAACAAAGCATTATACGCAATAGAAGTTTCCCGAGGGATCAGAGGACAGGGACTCACTTCCCTGCTCCAACGCACCACGCGACGCACTTTATCTTTATTCTCTGCCTCCTCCTTTTTACCCCAGTTTCTACCTCACCACCTATCTCAGTCTCGAAAGGTCTATCGTTCTTTTTTTTCGTCCGAGAGAAAAGTCAGATTTCACCATCAACCACCCACCACCGATTACCTCGAAACGCGACTATGACGGCAACGACGACGACGACGACGTTGCCGTTTCCGCGACGGAATTCCGCGTTACAAATACAAATACGGATCGCGATAAACGCCGTGCGACGTAACGGCGCGGGTGTCCGCGTGAGAGGCGCGTGCTGCGCGCGACGAAGGGTGTCGGAACGACAAGCGACGTACGATCTGCACCCCGTGACGAGCGCGTCGCGACTGAGAGGACCAGCAGCGCGGCGGCGGTTCGCTCGAGCGGCAGTGGTGGCACCATGCGCGGCAGCGGCAACGGCGACGGTGACGGCGACGGTGGCGGCGGCGGTGGCGGCGGCGGCGGTGGCGGTACGGCCGATATCGCGCGCGCTCGCTCGCGTGAGGACGCGGTGCGGCGCGACGGTGGCTACAACCAGCGGCAGCAGGAGAGAGAGAGGACGCGTATCGCTGGCAAGGAGATGGCAATGTTGCGCTGCCGCGCGGGTGGAGGCGCCCGCCGCCGTACCTCACGCGTCCTCACGTTCCCCCTCGCACCGCGGCGGTGCCGGCCAATAGCGCGGCTCGCCTTCCGATCAAACGCGCCGCCCCCGGAGACCGCCTCATACTTCCTCTCTCACTCTCGCGGCCTTCCGCGAGGCCGCGCGTCTCGCTTTGTCCGCCGTCCGAGAAGAAGAGAATTCTCTCTCTCGCGCGGCATCGGCCCCGGCGAGGCCCACCGATCGGCCTCCCGAAACGGCGATCCGCTGATGATGATGAGAGGAGGCCGCGCTTTGCTGATGGCGGAGGTGGTGGTGGTGGTTATTCTGTCGTTACTAGTATCACTGAGCGGTGGTGGAGAGCACGGACGGGGGCAGCGACTGCGACGACGACGACGACGACGACGACGACGACGATGACGACGATGACGGGGACGCTGCTCTCTCTTTCCGCGGATATCGCGTAGGAATTAATGCGTTCTAGGAAAGAATCGCGCGATTTGCCCCTGCGAAACTAGGTTGTACCTACTTCGCGTCAACGGTGAGATTTAAACGAGTGGGTGTAACGCGAAAACAATTTTTGAGAGAGCATCCGATGAAGACACTGGCGATCTAAGACATTTACGCGACGTCTATTTGGATCTGAAAGTTCTTCAAAGTAGATAATTGTCAACGTTTGTCGACAATCTCTACCTTTTACTTATAATTCGTAAAAAAATATGACGTGCGTATTTCATATTGAGATTGAAATCGGAAGGAACAATTTCGAGATAATACAGACGGAATGTGGTTCAACTCAATTTCTTCATAAAGATGCATCAGCGCATGGAATTAAATTTGCGAACGTTAAAAAAAATTATCAAGTTTTTGTTCTTTTATAACGGTTGTAAGTGAGTTCAACGAACGCCGGCGACGGCAGCGACGTCAAGAGACTTCTACAAACGCGGACGGTGTTTTTGAATTTCCAAGGAAGCACTCGAGTCTCGAGCATTAAGTATAAGGATCTTATTGCACCTGCGCACAATAACGATTGTCCTGATAGCGACGAGATGAACGACTAGAAACGTGCGGCGTTCTAACCGTATCTTCCAAATGAGTCTTGTGCCACCGCATTACATGGCTCGATTACTCGCTGCATTCTTCTTGAAAAGTTACGGCAGTAATAAATTAACGCCGTGAGATGATGAATGAATAATATTTTATACTGAATCTAGAACATATTCCTCACGAAAGCCAGAGAGTTTACGGTCTGCAGCTGTAAACGCATATGTCTCTACGATTTTGAAATCACTAATTTAATAAGATAGAAACTATAACATAGCGGAAGTAATAACACCAATTGTAAGACAAAAGATGTGCAAGCAGTTCTTTTATACATATATAGGTACTTTAATAATGGATATCTAGTATCAAAATAATTCAAGAGAGAAAATATGTTCTCTGTCTCTAAACTAAAACTACTCTGAAAGTAAGAAGGAATAGGGAACGTCTTTTCGATGTACAAAGTTCGGGATAGCTCCGGAATAGACGATCATAGTTGTAAAGATAGATGGCTGTAATAGAAGCTACGCGCTCTAAAATATTTGCTAAAGTGATGTTCTCGAGCAAGAATATAATAGCAATCTTAATTGATTATCACACATATCTTCCTATTTATTCAAATATATCGCTCTAATAGTACCTATAATTCTAGCTTTAAAAATAAATCGGGCAGAGTGGGTCGCTTCTTTTCCACTACCTATTCTGGCATTGCTCTATTCACGCGAGAGTAGTCCGGGTTATTGTTCATCGCAATAAATGACAATCTCGCGAGCCGCACCCCGAAAGAGTCCACCCTTTCTTTTCCCGCGTTTGGCACGTGGCGGAGTAATTGGGGATGCAAAGAGCAGATGATTATTCAGCGTCGACGCGGTTTCACCGTCTGCCGTCTCCCGGGAACCGACAAGACGATATCGACGATCGAATTTGGGCAGTCGTGCCTCGATAACGGAGTTACGAGCGCGACGTCAACGGTGCCGGCCCGGGAAAGATGGCGGTCTTAATCGAATTAAGGCTACAAAGAGAAACGGTCCCGCGTCCGACGTCCCTTGCGAGCCGCCGGCCGGACTCCCCTAACTGGCTATTAGCTCGAATTTTGGTAATAGCGAGTGTCACGTAGGGTGGTCGAGACCGGTCGTCTAAGAATCCATTCCTAAACGATTGCGTCGGAGGCGTCCGCAAAATTTCTCTCGTTAAACTTAGATTCTGCAAAATTTAAAATGTAGTAAGAAGTGCCGAAAGAACTATGCAGATAGTTAGATGGTATAATATTCAATTGGAAATTAGCGTGATATTTTTTGTAGTATTTAATATTTCAAAAATTTACAATAGAAAAATGACGTTCGACAAAATTTTACTTTTAATACACACTGTAAAAATGACTGACTGAAACTTCAGACGAAGCGTTTGCAGTTTTTTTGCAAACACACTTTTCTGAATTTTTAGAAAAACGACTCTGGAGTGATTACGACAGATTAAAAATTCTTTCAGACACCCAAATTTGAAAATTCACACAAAAATGTGTCTGAACTTTTAGAAAATTTTTTGATAAAACTGCATAAAAGGTAACACACCTTCGGTTTTATCGCTACTTAAATATGTTGTAAGGAAGGTTCTTTTGAATAATTCCCCGCCAAAAATAAGTGGAGGACGGCATTGGTTTAGAAGATATAACAAATTGAAGTTTGACATTTAAAGTATGTGTATGCTGTGTAATTTGTTATTTTCTCATTGAAAAAAACTGTTTATGACATTTAGGTAACACACCTTCGGTTTTATCGCTACTTAAATATGTTGTAAGGAAGGTTCTTTTGAATAATTCCAAATAACAAATTCCAAATAACAAATTGAAGTTTGACATTTAAAGTATGTGTATGCTGTGTAATTTGTTATTTTCTCATTGAAAAAAACTGTTTATGACATTTATACATGGGCGAGGGAGGGGCACCGCTTCTCCCCCTGCACCCACACTCTGAGAAAATTCTGACCTAACCTAAACCTATTCTCAGTTTTAAAAGTAAAGTTGGATTAGGTTAGATTAGATTTTTTTCAGAGGTGGGGGTGCAGGGGCAAAGGCAGAGCCCCTATTAATATTTTAATATTAAATAATATTTAATATTTTTCAAGACAAGACTCAAAAATTCGTGTTATTACATGTTGAAAGCTATTAAGGAACTGCGAGAAATAGATGAAACACATTATTGACAAAATATCCATGACCGTGTATTTATCTCGTAAATGTAAACAAACGCTTTTTCCACGTCTGCTCTACAACAAATAAAATATACACACATTTCACTTTTCCTAATATTATTTTATAATACCTGATAAAAAGCATAAAAACTGTGAAACTTTAATTTGTTATATCTCCTAAACCAATGCCGTCCCCCACTTATTTCTTGCGGAGAATTATTCAGAAGAACCTACCCTACAACATATTTAAGTGGCGATAAAATCGGAGGTGTGTTACATTTTGCAATTTTACCAATTTTTTAAGTGCACAATTTATGCAACAAATATGTCACTAATAATGCTAAAACTAATAACGCGCAAAAACGAACAGGTCTCGCTAGAAGGATATATCTTCGGAATTCGTTCTTTTTTTTGTCGATACGCAGATTTATCGGCGTACTGCGGATATCATCGTAAAGAATGCAGAAAGAGAGAAAGAGAGTAGTCTCTAACACGATTTCGGTCCCCGCTCGAAATCGACTGCCCCCAATACCCCGGCCTCCGTCCCCGCGTTTCCCTTGCCGTGCGTAAAAGCCGTATGCGCGATATTAGAAAACATAAAAAACGGGGGTAACGGTGGCGATGCCGAACGGCGAATGAGTCGGATATATGCGGACGAATAACGACGCCCGCGGGCTTTCTGATGAAGGAATATCGCCCGTCCTTTACGAACCGCGCGTTATTTTTCCGCATGTCGGGCCGCGATCTATTCCTTCGTCCTCTCGGCGTATGATTGTTGCAAATGTCACTCGTTTTCGCGACCTACCTTTACATTTCTGCATATTATTCGCGTCTCCAAAATTACGTACAAGTATATTAGAACTATAAAATTTAAAAAAATAACATGAGTATTGTAAATGCCTAGAATTATAACAAGTACATTTAATTTATTATAACGTTTAATCGTTCGAAAAATATCGTAGCTTTCATAACCGGAAATGAAAACAATGATATCTGATCGTGGAAATAGAGAAACGCGGGAAATATAATTTATTCATTAGAATAAAGATAAATTTTCAATCAATTTATTGCATATAAGATTTTGCAAAGAGTTATCGTGTGAAAGGGGAATATTGTTATAATAATATCAAATTCTCTATATTAGAGTTTTCTAATATAAAGAAGCAAACACACAGGAACTTGATTGTTGCAAGAACAGCAGAGAATGATGTTATATTCTCTGGAAGAAAAATGCAAGCGTGCACATTCTGTGTAAAAACGCAAATATACGTAATATGATTTACATTTACCGTCGCAACAACTTTAGTTGCTGTTACTCGAACAGCAAATATGTAATATCAAACTTGATGTTACCATAACATGGTTTATGTCGGCATAATATTTACAAAATATCGATGTGTTGTACGCCAAGTACAGTCTTTTTTTCTTTACAATTTTGCAGATTTTTCTGTGCTTAGTTTTGCGGAGAGGAAAAGCGTTCTTTCTTATTTCGAAAAATTAACGCAGCTACGGAT